TAATTGAAAGAGAGCTCAACCTCACTTCATATCTGAAAGCAAATTAGAAATATGGTCAAGTGTTTGCCGATTAAAAATCCGCATTATATATAGCTTTAACAAATTGCCTGTCTGCCACATTCATCTGTATGGAAAAATTCGAGAAACTGTTCTTTCAGATTACTGTAATAGCAGGGGTTTGGGAATGGTGGCCAGCTCATACATTTGTTCTACAGAAAGTAATCTAAACGCAAGCCAGCCCCTAAAGAGGCTGTGATCACAGTGACAGGAGCGAGAGAAAACACAGGACCAATCTATTTCCCTTGTAAACACAGAACACAAAGGCTGGGTCACACCGACAGCATGGGGTGTGTTTTAGTTTCCACCTCCTACACACTCGTGCATCCAATATAGTTCAACAATCACACTCTCCAATGACTCTCAGAACCCTTACTTCCCACCCTCCAACTGAACATTTCCTGGGGAATTCCAACCAGGAATATATTCTTGATGACAGAGCAACTACAACAGCTGAGAGGAAAATCACTTCTCTAATGAACAGCAGGAGGCCTTGTCTTTAGCATTTGCTTGTTCTCGATGTTTTGTGGCTCAAAATAGTTACTCGTAAATGCATGACCTTGTTATTGTTCTCACGGAGCAGTTTTAGTGTTACTTATTGCGCCCCAGAACGCAGAAATTGAACAAACACAGACTAAAAGCATTTCATGAGAGAGTGTGGTGTATTTCATGAACACGTTTGAAACATGTAAATTAGCAAATTAGGCACTGAGCTGAAAGTGTGAACTACAGCTATGCTAGCAGAGATGTTGCTATAGCTTCCTATAATACAAAATCATTGCAGTAATGGCCTCCGAAGTAGTTGGCAATAAATGTGAAAAGCTACAATTTAAATAGTCCTTGGTTTTAATTGCCAGTGCTCAATAAAACTGAAATACTGAATATTATTTAATCTTAGAAGTGTTGAATCTCTATTTGTGTTCTGAGCTAAACTTTTCAAATCTCTTTTTGATGAAGCTTACAAACTCTGCTTTCATAACCTTGGGTCTTGTGAATAGCATCTAGTGTTTTGTTTGAAGCAGCAGTCAGTTGCCGCTGGCAGATGCATGCTGCATGTGAGCTTGTGACATTGGTGTTCCTGAGATCTAATTATATCTGTGTAATACTGTATTGTGGAGAAAGCGTACAGAACTCATTGTAGATGCTCAGGCAGGAGAAGGTCTCTTCTTTTAAACACAGGCAAACCATGGGCCTATATTGTGAACAACAAGTGAAAAGAAAATCCTAAGAACTCGATCTGCAGATTGCAGATTTATGTAAGTTAGGAAGGTCTCTTCAAGCCATTTCTGAACAACTGCAGATTCCAAGGTATCCAAGTACAACCTTTTCAACTTTTCGTCTCCACTTTGCTAGAGTCTGGAAGAAGACCCAAACTTTCACCCTTGGATGAGAGGAAACTGGTTGGGGTGTTCAAGAACAACCCAGGAAATATGAAGGCTCTGGGTGCCCATGAACTAAAAGTGGCTGGACACCAAGATCACTGTCCACAATGAAGTGAGTTTCACATCATTGACTGAGAGGGTATGAACCAAGACAGAAGTCTCTGCTACAAAATGGACACCTTCAAACTGACTAAAATATGCAGCTACCAACATGAACAAGCCAAGTTCCTTCTTGAAAAAGGTTTTATGGTCAGCTGAGACAAAGATTGAGATATTTGGCCATAATGACAAGAGGCACGGTAAAGTGAGGCTTTCAAATTTAAGAACACTGTATCAACTGTCAAGCATGATGGCGGTAACATCATGCTTTGGGGCTTTTTTGCTTCCTGTGGTACTGGTATATTGCAGTGGATGGAGTAATGAAGGAAGACTATCTTCAAATTCTTCAACTTCACCTCAAATCAATACACAGCTGGGTGTTCCAACAGGACAATGATGCCAAACATGCACTGAAGCTGTTTTTTGGAATGGATAAAGCAGGCTAACAATAAGCTACTGGAATGGACTTCCCGAAGACTTTACCTCTACCCTGAAAATTTCTGGACTATGCTTGAAAGCCCGTTCAGTGCATAAACTCGCTTTTCTGTAATTCCACAGATCTGTCTAAATAAAGAGATCTTTATTCAATCTGTATATGCATTAACTTTTTTTGTTCTGTAATAAGATGTTCAAGATGTCTGACCTTATTATAGACAGCAAGATTATTATTTGACATTTTAAACTCTGGAAATCTTCGATGTTTGTCCTCATTGGTGCTGCTGAACCCAAACGCGCTTCAGCTTGAGATGGCTTGACATTCTACTTCAGGATGTTTTTGTAGACAACAGAATTCATGGTTCCATTTGCCACAGCAAGTCATATTTTACTGTTAGTATGATGCTCCTTTTCTGAAATGTTGTGTTACTTTTATGCCGGATGTAATGGGACAAACACCTTCCAAAAAGTTCAACTTTTGTCTTGTCAGTCCACACAGTATTTTCCCCAAAGTCTTGGGGATCATCAAGATGTTTTCTGCCAAAACTGAGGCAAACTTTTTGCTCAGCAGGGGTTTTCATCTTAGAACAGGCCGTGTTTGCCCAGTCTATTTCTTATGGTGGCATCATGAACACTGACCTTAACTGAGGCAAGTGAGGCCTCCAGTTCTTTGGATGTTGTTCTGGGGTCTTTTGTGACCTCTTGGATGAGTCGCCGCTGTGCTCTTGGGCTAATTTTGGTCAGCCAGCCACTCGGGGTTTATCACTGTGCCATGTTATCGCCATTTGTGGATATTGTCTCTCACTGTGGTTTGCTGGAGTCCCACTGCTTTAGAAATCACTTTATAACCTTTTCTAGACTGAGAGATCTTCACTTTGTTTGAATTCAGCTATCTGTGGGATACACCACAGATAGCAGTTTCAAAATACCTTTATTTAGAAACTGCATTTTGTGTTTACTTATGTTTTCTTTCTTAAATATTTAAATTTGTTTGGTGATCTGAGACATTTAAGTGTGACAAACATAGAAAGAAATATGACATGGGGAAGGGGGCAAACACTTTTCCACACCACTGTATGTGGATGAGCTGCTAGAGACCAGCACTACAAGGACTAAAGACCACAGGATCATCTGCATACATCATATGGTTCGCTAAAAGACTATCAACCTTGCACCAAGTTTAACGGGTTCTCGGCTTCTTTGACAAGCCATCAACATAAAGATTTAAAAGAATTGGGGACAAAATTCCTTTTTGTCTAACTCTACTGCAAGATTAGAGAAAAATCCATAAATTCAAACTTGTGCACCCAATTCTTGTTAAAGTCATTAAAGCTGTATGCTGTGCAGTTAACAGTTAAATGAAATCATTTAAAGCCCCAAATTACCATGAATATAAAGCTGTATATATGATGCTTATGCTTACACTTTAAAGTAAGACCAAGCGATACAAAGTCAGGAAGGCACACAAAATACCTTGTAAAATGCAAGAGTGTTTTGCATTAGTGGTGCTTTAAACACACTACAGAGGTACTCCTACACCATTTCTTGCTGGAAATGTGTGGTTGGTGGAAGCTTTTATCCCACACTCTCTAGTGCCTTACTGTACCATTTGGGAGTGCATTTTAAGGATGGGTACTCCCAGTTGGAATCAAAGCTCTAGCATGCCAGTGATGCCTTTAAGCCATCCAGAATCTCAGCTGTCGACATCATGCTGAGACAGCTTGACCTTTCTAGTCACATCACTCAGGTAAAACATGTCACTCCACTGTCTGAAACTCCCTGACGGCATCGGTATCCTTGAATTGACCATCAATATCCAGGATGCCTCTTGCGGTAAATGCACAGCTGTTGTATTATATATTTAAGAGGAAACGGACTTTAAAAACGACAACAACAACAACAACAACAACAACAAAAAACAGTTTTTCCATTACAGAGAAAAGAAGCTGTGCAAGTCTGCAGCTAACGTGGTTTGCTATATGAGTCAAACCAGTAAAAACACATATGATCCATGTTACTCAATGTAAAACCATCTCGGGGATTTACAGTTTGGCACCTTCAGCCCAGAGTCACTGTGCTGAAGCAGCATTGACAGCCCTGTATCTGTGAAACACCCACATAGCCCATAGCTCAAAAAAGCTTTCTTCACAGCGCATCTGTATGAGGCAGAAGGGCTTCTAATGGTTAAGGAGACGTGTCCTTCATTCAGAAGTTATGCGTCTTCCCTGTTGGCATCATGGAGAAAATAAGGTGAATGTTCACTCTGAGGATTGGTAAAGGTATCAGACGAGGGAAAAGCACTAATCTTTCTTCTAAGATGAATTAATGATCAGATTTTTAAAACTGAGGCAAAGCACAACAGTCCCTGCAAGCGTTAACAGTCTTAACATACTGACCAGTATTTTATTCTCCCTACATTTTCATTAACCTACAGTAAGTCATTCACCAGTGGCTACATCCCTGCATGCGCACTACACATCGTCAATGTCAGCTTTGATGTTGAGCCGATCCAGATAACATTCAGGTCAAGTCCAAGTTACTGTACAAAACATTTTTTTGCAGAGCAGCGAGGATGCTGGAGCTGAGCTGCATTAGTTACCTATTTAGCCTACTTCTAAGGACGAAACTGGGGAAGCCTAGATATTTAAAAATGCAACACCAACGCCAAACAAGTGGGTCAATCAAATACTGTTACCTCTTATCTGTCAATGTCAAAAGCAATCAGTTATACAGTAGGCGAAGAAATGGGCTAGATTTACCAGTCTTATTTTAACGCGCAAACGAATCGACAGATGTCAGGTCCAAAGAAGAGCAAAAGGAAATACCAGAGTGGAAAACATCACACTAATCAAGTGAAAAGGTCGTCTGCAGACTGCTCATGTGAAATGTTGCCAGCGCTTCTGCTGAGCCAACATCGAGCGGTCCGCCTCCCTGTAGTGAGATCATTTGGGAGGAACAGCACCTTGAAGAATAACGCCAGGATTTAAAAAGAAACTGGATAGAATCTCTTAAAAGGCAAAATCCTACCTGATGTCCCTCACTCGTCAGTGCATGCGAGCTGACTTGAATGTAGGCGAAGCGACACACACCGCAAGCGGGTCAGCTCAGCCTGACTGCCTCCCTCCTCCACGGCATCAAGCCCCTCCTCGTTTATCGTACAGTGGAGAAGGATGAGGGGGGGAGAAGAAAAAAAAGACCACAAATCTGTGCGCCGCAAAAAGGAAGCGGCGTCACACTCACGCACAGTGTCAGATAATATGTATCCCGATGAAGACAGATTTACAACCTTACCAGTGCGATGAGCAGATAAAATTAACCTGGCAATCATGCACAGGGATAGACGCACGGAAGATCTGAGAGACTGACCTCTCTTATTTTGAAAATGCTTTAATTTGTGCAGTGTAGAGCACCTGCCAAAAGCGTGTCTTCACACTAAGCGTTAATGGAAGCCTGGCATGGAGGTTTATGTTTAAAGTGGGGGCAACCTCCACAAGTCTTGCTATAACGTGCAGGAACATACATCCCACACAACATTGAAAAAGAGTATCTGTCTGTTTTTTCGTGATTAATTACACTTACACTAACCCAATAATCAAGCAGTCAAATTAAGATAAGGCATTAAGATATATTTTAGAGACAAAATGAGAATATTATTTAATGTATCAATATGGCCTGCACCTCCCCTATCGGTGGGTGCACTATTGTTTTCTAAACATATACTACCCCCTAATGGAGATATGGAAGCATTTATGGTCAGGAAATACAAGGACATGCTCATCTCTGAGAAAATAAGGGATGGACTCGGACAGAGTGAAAAGTATTGTCGGTATTTTGCAAAATAGGTATGGATGATTCGTATTCCAAAAAGACTATTAAAAAATCACAGCGGGACCGATTATCCTAGTCTACAAAGCCCAATCAAAATGTGTTTGCTTTGTTTTTTCATTTTCTCACGCTATCCAATGTGAGCCTTCACTTCACAAAATAATACAATACTATAAAGGGTACAAGGTGTTCGAAAGGTACGTGTGAATTAGTGATGCGGCGTGAACATTTTGGCAAACATTTCTAAGTAGCGACTCTCGTTTAGGACACTTTCCAGGTACAGCGTTAGCTTTGACATCATCCTGTCATTTATTGCCTGGTAACACGCAGTAACCAAGTTACTCCACTTGAACTTTGTCGTGTTCAGAGTGGAGTTTTTTTCCACTTGGGTCTTTTCAGTATGAAGATGGTCAAACTGCCTTTGATGTAGTAGTACCAGGTAATTTAAAAAAAAAAAAGGGTAGAGAAAACTGATGTAGGTTTTCTTCTGCAGTGTTTGAGTTTAACTAATAGTTAAAGCTAACTTTTGTTGTGCTGTCCAAGAAAAATCAAATCTAGGTGTCAAACTGTCTCACCACAAGAGGGAAGCATTGACATAACATTGCATTGATATGTGAAGATCTAAAGAGCAATGTTCAGTATACCAATAAATCTTATCATTGGCCTTTGTTTAATTATGATATTGATATGTCAAAAGCCAGATTTGTGATAGGACCTTCTTCAGTATATCAAACGTCATCTTTTATAGATAAATACTCTGTATATCTATAACATATTGATATAAATACAGTAGATCTGTATATAAAAGAATCAGGTTATGGGATTTTTTTTATTTTTGGGGTCTCGAGTTCTCCAGATAGTATCTTTTTAACCAAGAAAAGTAATGTAAAGATAGAAGTTAGGTGAAAAAAAATCTATTTTCCTGAGAGATCCTAAAGATCCTGTATGTTAATGCCATCGAAAATATTGTTGCAATTCTTGCAATCATTTTAAGAGTTACAGCAAGCACATTTAGCACATTCTTAATTTTTCCAATTTCACAGATGATTTCCTTCATAAAACTCCAGTCCCGTAGTGCGGAAAGCTATCTTTCTCTCAAATTTCAAATAAACATTCAAAGTACTCTCAAGACAGAAAATGTACTCGGCTCATTTATAAGGACATGTGTGTAATGAAGCAAACTGCATCAGGAATATTGGTGATGCAGTGATATGGCAGTAAATTACTTTTGCATCATTACATCACCAATATGCTCGATGCATATTGCCACATTACATAAAAGTATGACATTGATAAGAGTGCAAATATAAACAACCTCACCTGGTTCAAACAACAGAAATTTCCACCTTTATTTCATTAAAACACTCACCAGCATTAAATTAAAAACCAGGTTGCTTATTTTTCTTAAACTCTTTAAACCAAACGATGTCTCCTAAAGTTAATACGCAAGGCAGTTTTGTGTCCTGAACTTTTGACAATGCAATTTAGACACATAAATGGCAAGAGTTATTATTTAATTGTGTTCAGAACTCTTATCAAACAGATCACCTTTTTTATGTTCTTAAAACAAGGTAAAGCCCACATTCTAACTTAATTTCCATGGAAAAACAAACATCTGATTTAGAAGTCTGTTTAAAAACAATTTGTTTAAAAAGCAGCTGCTCACTTTCAAAGTACAGTAACACGCTTATCTTGCTAAACAGCACGGCAGCCACTACAGGCGCACTGAGCTTTGTTGTGGTTCGGATATTTCCATGGGAACCAGCGGCTAAGGAGAGCAGGAGGATCCTGTTTGAGCTGGAGGCGTGTGTTAGATTTATTGGTTTCCTGCTACATTTAAACCGCCTGCGTCTCTCAAAGAGCCACAGATCTGCAGGACCTCCATCTGCTGTCAAGAGAGCCCTCACAACTTCTCTATCTTTCAGTACCTTACTGGAGCTTTTGTCCTTTTTTGGGATAATATTGTGTATTATCCATAGCCCCAGAATATAAGGTAAGAAAACCTTCCTGCCAAGTACTTGTTGGGGATATCCTGACTATTTGTGAATGCATTTGATTTCAAAACATAATTCAGCAACTTAAGTATTGTTTTATTTTATTTTTTCACAGAGTTTTGGATTTCTACCAGAGGACCCATGTGGATGGTGGAGAGGATCCGCATGTCAGTGGAGAGAACTAGCCTGCCTACCTTGACAGCAGAACTCAGCTATAAACTTGGTGACATCATGCTGGGAGAAAAGGCAGACAAATCCAAACGGATTTCTCTTTGTCCTAATATCATCACCCCTGACAACATCCCAGAATTCTGCATTCCCCCAACGATCCTGTCCTTGCAGGAGAAGAACACGGAGCAAAGTCGAGCAGCTCGCATTATGAAGGTGCCTCCAGGTGGAGGACCCAGCCCTGAGACGGAGATGACGTTTCATGAGCCGTTCAACCAACACATTATTCAGGTAGAAAGTGTGGATGAGAGCCCCTACGATGGCTGCAGTGATGAAGAGAGCACCAATGCAGACCCTCAGAGCCAGGCTGCCTTATCGCTTCCACACTTAGCCAAAACCCAGACCAGCTATGGCTTTTGCACTTTACTAGAGAGCCCCCACACAAGAAGAAAGGAGTCAATTTTCCATTCTGATCCAGGCTCTTCTCCCCTGCTGCTGCCCAGAAGTCGATCCAGCATGTGTTCCAAACTCACCCCCTCCACCTCGCCCTCCTCCTCTCCTTCCTCCTTCAGCCTTAACAGCCTGACCTCCAGGCTTTCCCCAAGAGGTTACACCCTAAACTGGCAGACCACTCTAGACAGTGATACCACTTCCTCTACTGAATCCTCTCCTTTCAGCTCGCCGCTGCTGGCCAGGTGCCCTGCCAAGTCTTCCCTCTTCAAAGCGCTGAGCCATGAACTGCTGTTGTCAAGGAACATAAGGAAAGCAATGGTGTCTAGGAACAATTCCCTGTCCACAGATGAAGGCAGCTCCACCGACAACAGCCCCAATGTCATGAGGAGGGCATCAGAGGGGTTGGCTGAAGGGCTGCCCAGCAACTACAGCCTGGCACCACCCACCATTTTCCCCATGGACTTGATTCTGCATAGAGAGAGGGTCATGAAGGAAAAAATGGTGCCCATTGGAAAAGAGGGCAGTCTGAGACTCTCAGCAGAATACTGTCCAGATAACCGAAGACTGCGAGTTCGACTCATCAGTGCAGAGGGCCTTTATCCTCTGTCTGTAGACCCCAAGATTATCAACTGTAGTGTCAGCCTGTCTCTGATTCCCGGAAAAATCCAGAAGCAACGCAGCACTGTCATCAGAAAGAGCCGTAATCCGATCTTCAATGAGGATTTCTTCTTTGATGGTATCTCAGAGGAAGACCTCAGCCAGCGGTCCCTTCGCTTTAAAGTCGTGAACAAAATGTCCACTCTGAAAAGAGACTATCTGCTTGGTGATTGTGATTTGCCTCTTTCAAGCATTGTAACCTTATAAAGTGAAGTACTTTGGCAGTTTTTTTAATGTACTGAATTATTTATTTAAATTTTTGTATTATAAAAGAAGATTTTGTAATAATTAAATTATGGAAAAAGTTGACTTTATCTGTCTCGAGTACATTTTTTGAGTACGTTTTCAATTTTAAATTTAGGACGAGTTACACCATGATATTACAAACTGAGCCTGGGACAGAGACATTTTTATTTCATAAAAAAGTCCAAATCACCAAGAAAAAGTTAAAAACAAAACACGCATTTAAAAATATCCCTTTACAGCCTGTCAGTGATTAATTTGTTAATGTGGCTGTACCATCCGCTGGAGTGAGATGGCTCCCATCTCCATTTCTCCTAAGCCTTTTGTCCTCTTCCTGACCTTTTCTGTGATGAAAAATATATATAAAGCCCAGAAAGCTCACATGGGCTTTTTTCCGTTTCACCTTTGAGTATGTATCATTTCAGCGGTGCACAAGAGAAGCTCTGTTTTCTTTATCCACCTCCTGCCATATTTCATTATTATCTGCTGAAGATCATAAGAGCATCTCATGCACCAAATTGTAGTTAAAGAAAGTTTTTTTTCTCATATTTCCTAAATAAACAGTCTTTCTTCACATACAAGTCAATCTATATCAAATAATAACCTGCTAATATCCTCTTTTATTTAGAATACAGCAAAGCAAAAATGTAAATGGGAAATAAAAACAAACAAACAAACAAACAAAAAGTCCCTTTAATTTCTGAATATAATACACTGCTTTTCGTTAAATACAGTGTACGAGCTAAATATGTTTGCTCCTTCCAGCCACCTTAATAGCCAAAAAACAGCATCTTAGTGCAACGTGTGTATATACACATATGTTTACTCGACCGAGCAGAGCA